CCAACAGCAATTTGACTAGTTCTTTCCGTGTTTCAAAAGCTGATGCCATCAGTGAAAGCTTCCAAACCTACTTCAATGGTTTCTGAGTGCCTTTCTCTACCTCCATTAGAGAACTGAAAGCACTGAACAATCACAGAGAATAGCGTCTCTGCACTGACAGAAAGGAGTTGATTGTAAGATGATCTTAAAGTTGATACTGATTAGTTCTCTAAGTTACTGCTTTGTCTCTTTTAAATCTGGAGTCTCTATTGGCTTTCCAGGTAGGTCACCTGGCACCCATTGCTCACCTTCAAGCCTCTCCCTTGTTACAGCGAGAGCAGCAAGTCTGCCTCTTGCAGTCTTACCATTCCCTCTCTCCATCTTCAGCTCTGCTGCACCCTTTCGCCTATTAGCAGAGATCCAGAAAAATCCTTGACCAATTTCTAGAAAGTTTCCAGTTCACAAATAAATAATGTGGATGACTGTGGTGCAGGCTTGTGGCTAGGCTGTGATAGAGATGGTTAAAACATGATTCTGGGTTGTAAAGCAAATGGTCACTTAAAGCTGTCTGAGTGGCTGCATTAGAATAGAATAAGAGGGCTTACAGAACCACGTATGCAAAAGCAGCTATTCCTCCGTTCATCTAAGCTGTTAGTAGCCATTCCTGAGCTGAGATGTGGTATCCAGCTATGTACACAACAAGAGAGAATCTGGAGGCTTTTTGCAGCCAAAGGTCTCACATCAGATGTGAACCAAACATTGGATGTAGACATATCTCTTACAATCAGTTCTAAATCCTAGTAAAGCCATACTCTCATATCAATGCTACTAAAATTATTTGTGTTCAGAGTATTTTCCTATTTCTCTCTCTGTTTTTTCCCCCCAAATTATTTGGAATGACTTGCCAAATACTGAATGTAAAGAATCCCTGATCTAAAACTGCTCACTGCCAAATCATCCTGAGGTCTTTACATTGGAAATTCAAACAGTTCTGAACAAGCATATGCTTCACAATAGATGTGTTTCATTAAGGAAACATAATTCTTGCAGTCAGTTTTACATGTAAAATTACAAATTCAGAATTTGCACAGCTTACATAGAAGTTGCTGTTTTTGCCGAGATCGCTGACAACAAACTCGCTCAGACTATTTGTGGTAAAGCAAATGCCAAAGAAAAGTAATAGTTTAACCAGCTTGAAAACTGAGGGATGGGCTTTCAAAGCAGGGGAGTATCATCAGACTCAAAACAATGAAGCACAAACTTGACTCTCAGTACAAAATGTGAAGTGACATTTTCAATTATGCTGAACAAAGCAGCAAGACTGCTGAGAAAACTGCAGAGCTGCCAAGGATTTCTGGATCTGATGCTTCTTTCATTTCTTACTTTTTTATAAACTGGTCATAAAACAAGAGCACTATTTCAATCTCAATTGTACTAAGCAGTGTAAGTAAGTTCAGAGATGAACAAATTTTGGCCAGCTCTCTATTAGGAAAAATATGCAATCCATTTATTTTAAGAGGGTCAGTATTAGAAGCACTAAGTTATTGAAAGCGTGAAGGCTGAGGGGAACACTACAACATTTTAAAAATCCTTAATCTGGTAATCCAATATAAACCAGTCCTGTTCCCTGTTGATTATCTTTGCTTTTTCTGCCTGTTCAGTTCTTACTGATTTCAGTTCTATGTTTTTTCTTTGTTACCAAGGCCCATCACCATTATCAGTTCCTATTAGTTTTTCACTACCTTAGCTCCACAGCCCAAACTTCATTTGTCCTCTACATATGCTTCCCCTCCTAAAGATGAAAATCACCTCCAAACACAAACTTTTCTTCCCCTAAAGCAATCCAGCTTCTACCTTAACTGTACTGGTGTGTTATCAGTTCGTTTTCTGTCCTCTTTCAATCTAAACAACACAAATTCTTTGCCCTTTGTGTCAGTTCTCCGAACATTTTCTAACCAACTGTCTCTCCACTGCCCAAAGAGACTCCCTGCCATATCTCCAATACAAACTTGCTCTACCAGGTCCATTAACCATTTGCAGAAGCCTGCTGTTTGGTCA